TGACAGATGAATGGATAAATAAGATGTGGTCTATATATACAATGGAATATTACGCAGCCATGAAAAGATGAAATCTTGCCATTTGCAATGACATGGGTGGAACTAGAGGGTATTATGCTAAGCGAATAAGTCAGTCAGAGAAAGACAATTATTATATGATTTCACTGATACGTGGAATTTGAGAAATAAGGCAGAAGAGGGTCACAGGGGAAGAGGAGAAAAAATGAAACAAGACTAAACCAGAGAGGGAGACAAACCATAAGAGGCTCTTAATCTCAGGAAACAAAGGTTGCTGCTGGAGTGGAGGGGGTGGTGCGAGGGATGAGTGTCTGGATGATGGACACTGGGGAGGGTATGTGCTATAGTGAGTTCTGTGAATTGTGTAAGACTGAAGAATCACAGACCTGTATCCCTGAAACAAATAATACATTTTATGTTAGTAAAAATTAAAATTAAAAAAAAATTAAAAGTGCAAAAAACAGGTAAAAGAAGAGGAAGAAGAAGAAGAAGAGGAGGAGGAGGAGGAGGAGGAGTACTGGGAGGTGCAAGCAGGTGACTATTTGAGGAAACAATGGTGTGGGCCAGGGCTCTATACAAAAAAAGTATTCAGTGGAAGAGTATCTATAGGCAATAACTACATTCAAACCAATCAGACGAGTTCCCTCTGGAATTCAGGCCAAGCAAGTCTGAATATGGTGCAGCCCTGTGTGCCGTGGGAGCCTCTCATTTGTCTTCTCCTAAGGGACTGTTCTTTCCTTGTATCTGTTCTTTGCTGACCCAGTGTGGATTTTTCACGCTCTCTTTTGGTTCCCCCGCCCCAAAGCGAGGTCTGGAAAGTGCCATTTCATAGCAGTTTATAGACAAGGAGCTACCGGAACCTGGTACTCCCCCAAATTCTCTTGAGTGTACTCTCCACATGTTGATAGTCCCAACATTGTGGATCCTGCTTCCCAATTTAGAATTTAAAAACTGACCTTCCTCCCTAAGTGCAAAGAGGGATTTAAGTCCTGTTGGCACACGCATCCACAGGGGTCTTGGTGTGCAGTGAATCATTCTGGGGAAACCGCTAGGTCCCCAACATTTCTTTCACAGGTGCAATATTGCTTTTGGCTTCCTTCCAGTTGCTTTCTTTTGCCTCTTTCTGCATAAGAGAGGATCAAAGGATCAAAGACAATATAAGGGGATCTAACAACTGTTGCTACATCCCTTCCAACTACACCTGGGGGAATAAGTGAAAAAACACAGGATATCCAGGCATTTCCTTAGCTTTAAGCCAGTTGTTGTTGTTTTTTTTTAATCTCTGAAAATTCTAGCCATGTTCCTCTCCAGTCACAGTTTCCTGATACCTGCCATGGATCCCTAGGGATAAAATCGGGAGGAAGATGTACAGAACATACTTGTGATGTTTTCATAGGGCTTTTCTTCAAAGTAAGTTGGTGTCTGCTGTTCTGGAGGAGATCTGGGTCTGTGATCTGACTCAGGTCTGGCTATTGAGTAAGATGCCATAATTCTGCATCAGGCTTCTGAGAACAGATATAAAGGATTCTCAGCTGTGCAACTCCAGTAAGAATGAGTTGACTCCTCAACTGTTTTCTGTTCTAGGGACCGACTGACCACATCCCTGCCACCGAAGATGCCTGTGGGCAAACAATTTTTATTCATACTCCAACGTTTTTGTGCCCCAGGGAACCTTGTCTCTCGTGTTTAAATGTTCCTGGTTTGGGATCGCATCACCCCTATTGAAATCAGGAGTCTGTTTCCATGGACACACCTCTCACTTATGTTGCTTGCTTGCAAAGTAGAGCCTCTCCTGTGCTTTTTAAGTGACATATGCCTTGGGCCAGAGTCCCGCTCCAGGTGGGGAGCCACAAGAGGAACAGCTCAGGGGGTCAGACCTCAGCTGCAAAATCCACCTAACCACTTTGAACCTGAAGACAGGCCTCAGAAACAGAAGTCCAATGTCAGAGGGGGCTCTGGCTGGGCCAGCGATGACCAGAGCCACATCCCTTCTGAGGCTCCAGGTCCACAGACTCATGGTGAAGTCCTCACTCTTAAAGAGGAGGTAACTGAGACTAACCAAGGGAGGCAGTTGCCCAATGTGACACTTTCTAAAAGAAAGGAGACCTTGCTTGCCAGTTATCTTTTTTTCTTTTTCCATTTTGAACATGACCTCAATGCAGGGAGGTGAAAGGTCATGACTTGTCAGGGAGGAAGAATGTCCTCTACCCTTTCAAGGTCCTTCTAGCTGGACTAAGAATTAAATTGAGGGGGACCTGCATGGCTCAGTTGGGTTAGGTGTCCAACTCCTGATTTCAGCTCAGGTCGTGATCTCAAGCCCCATGTTGGGCTCCCTGCTCAGCTTGGAATCTGCTTAAGACTCTCTCTCCTACTTCCTCTGTCCCGTCCCCTGCCCCACCCCTCAAATAAATAAATACACCTTTTTTTTTAAAGATTCCATTTATTTATTTGGTAGACAGAGATCACAAGTGGGCAGAGAAGCAGGCAAAGAGAAAGGGGGAAGCAGGCTCCCTGCCGAGCAGAGAGCCTGATGCGGGTCTCAATCCCAGGACCCTGGGATCATGACCTGAGCCAAAGGCAGAGGCTTCAACCCACTGAACCACCCTGGTGCCCCAATAAATACACCTTTTAAAAAAATAATTAAATTGAGATGAGACAGATTAACAGGAGAAAAATAAAATTTAATTTTGTGCATGTGGGGAATCCACATAGACATGGAAATTCCAAAGACAGTCGGGCAACATGGGGTATATATGTCATTCTGAACTAAGGGGGAGAGGTCTGAAACTGAAAGAAGACATGCACTTCAAAAGAAGATGAAAAAGTAAATGTTTGGTAAATATTTACTGGACCACCCAGACATGATGGGACATAGAGGACATTGTTCAAACTGGCCTTACTAGGTCCCTCCCTGTTTACCATACCTAGCTCATAGTATAATGTACTTATCTATGGTGATAAGTATACTTCTATTCCTGGAGCAGGACTCCTAATAAATTCTTTTAGGCATTTATGGGAGAGGTAAAGACCGCTTCCTGAATCTACTGCTAAATCTGATTGCCTTTAACAGAAAAATAATCTTCATGCCAAGGTGGCCCATCTTAGGAAAGCCTGCTTCGGCCCCTCCAGACTCTTAGGCTCCTTTCAGAAATAAAGCTCGCTTGGAAGCAGACGGGCAGTGCGGGCCCAGGGCCAAGGCCAAAGGAACCAATAGACCTTGGACCGTCAGGAGCTCGGGTCCAAAGAACCTGGAGCCAGAAGATGACGTTAGTAGAGGGGGTGCCCTTCCTGAGCCCCCCAAGCATAAGCTCATTCTGATGGCGGTCCTGCTCACAGCAACAAGCCTGATACAATCTCTGCCAGCCGCTAAGCCAACTGCCCCCGCTTCTCCTGCCAGACCCTGTGGGAAACCAGTGTGATTGTCTGAAAACCAGCTGCAGCCTCTTTGTAGCCTTATAATAAAGCCGTTATGACAGTGGATGGGAAGCAGGTAAGTGCATCTTATGTGTTGGTGACCCAGCCAGGGGCCATCTCCCCGTCCCACCCCCACGACACACATGGTCGCTGGCCTTCTCCCAGGCTCACAGAGCCTTGCTGTTCACGGGGTGGCAGGAGCCCCTCTGCAGATCCAGGTGATGGACTGGGAGCGGTCTGAGACTGCCAAGGAAGGCCTCGACTGGTTTAGGAGAAGAAAGGTGACCCAGTTCCAGGCAGTGAAGGGCGGGAATGAGACAGTCAGGGGGTGATGGGAAAGCTGTAACTCCCAGAAACCCAGAGGCACGTGGTAGGTGATGCAGTCGGTTGGGCGTTGGACTCTTGATTGCAGCTCAGGTCCTGATCTCAGGGTCATGGTCTCGAGTCCTGCATCCGGCTCCAAGCTCAGCACAGAGCTGGCTTCGAAGTCCGTCTCCCTCTCCTACTGCCTTCGCCTGATGTTCACACGAACACATGCGCTCTCTCAAGATCAAACAAATAAATAAATCTTTTTTAAAAAGAGAGAGAGAGAGAGAAGTGATGAGAAACATCTCCCTTCACTGACTTTGGACACTGCCAGGTCAACACGTGCCCCTCGCGTCTGTTGCAGCCTCAGCAGACCAAGGCAGCTGGCCTCCAGGTAGCTTGGGACCATAGCAGGACTAACTCCATCTTGAATTCACTTTACTTTGAACGTTTCTCCCTCCCTTGTTACTCCACAGTAGACCCATTCGTACACTGTAAGCGTACTGGGGGAACTCGCTGACCTTGGGGTAAACCCGAATGGGGGAACTAGCTGACCTTTAGATTTTAATGAGAACACTGACTTAAGACCGGACACATTGCACAAAATAAACTAACCAGCACACTCTTTCACGTCACTCCCTAAACCTTCATTACTATGAGCTTGCAGTAATCAGTTCTGTTTAGAGCTTCTTAGGGAACTTGAAGAGCCTGGCCCAGGTTTATTGGCCCAGGTTTATTGAAGACAATTGATTGATGGCTCAAGGCCTGGGGAAGATTTGGCAGGTCTCTTTTTCATTCCTCTTCTCCTTTAGAAGACCTACCTGCATGGAGATGGGAGGGTGAATTTTGGGGACATCAGTATGCCATCTTCTCTCTTAGCTAGCTTTCTTAACAAAAATCGTTTTCCATGCCCCAACACTTGGTCTCTCTCCATTTACTGGCGTGTCCTACAGTGAGCAGATCGGACCTGGGTTCAAGGACAAGCCACAGTGATTCCATCTTCTGAGGTGGGTAATCACTGGCCCTTCCATATAGAGCAAATGTTTACTCTCCTTAAAAAAAAAAAAAAAGAAGAAGAAGAAGAAGTTTATAGTGGCTTCTGAGTGAATCTGCTGGGTATGTGTCTGACTCTTGGCCTCAGATCAGGTCTGGATCTCAGGGTCAGCAATGTGAGTCCTGCTTTGAGCTCCAAGCTAGGTATGAGCCTGCTTTTAAGAAAACAGATTCCTATGCAGTACTTTTTAAAAAGGAAAGTGAAAGCAAAACTCTCAATGTTGCTATAAAAGTGGGCCCACACACAGCTGAACAGCAGACGCCACCATGGCTGAGGTAAGCCTCCTGGAACTTTCTATCTGTGGCTTTCCAGCAGCAGGGCAGCCCCTTCCTCTAAGGAACTGAGTCTGGGTTCCTGGTCTTGGCACACTGAACTCCAGAGTTTGGAAAGGCTTTAGAAAGATGTTATGGAAAAGTCTTAGTTGTTTCAAAGTCCCTTTACCTGCAGGACAGTGAGGGCTTCGGGCCCAGTGAGCCTCCCCCATCCTTTGGCTCAGCACAGGGCCCAGGGGCTCCTGGGGAAGGAGCTGTGGTGGGCTGGGGGATTTGCTCACCTGAGCTGGGAAGCACCTGGTGTGTGGGCTGGGGGTGGGGGGTGTTCCAGGACTTGGGAAGTGAGGAGATCCCCAATATGCTTATCTCCCTCATGGGGGCTAGAGTTCAGTGCCTGCCCAGCTCTATCTTCCCCCCTTCCTCTCCCCTCCTTGGCATCTGTCCTGCCTCGGTAGGTATGCTGCAATTCCAGCTTTCTGACTCCGGACCTCCCTTTCTTTTTTTTTTTTTTTTTAAGATTGTATTTATTTATTTGACAGAGAGAGAGAGGGGAGCTACAGGGCTACAGGCAGAGGGAGAGGGAAAAACAGGCTCTCTGCTAAGCAGGGAGCCCAACACGGGGCTCGATCCCAGGACTCTGGGATCAGACCTGAGCCTAAGACAGACTCTTGACTGACTAAGCCACCCAGGTGCCCCAACTGATCTACCATCCTGTCAGCCCCGATGTGCAGGTCTACACAGGTCTAGGCAGGGGCAGGCCGGCTTGCTGTGCCCTGAAGGGGAAAGAGTTGAACTCAGGCAATTCCAGGAAATGAGGCCGTTCTCAGAAGGAGCAGCCCAGTCTGCACTCAGCTGTTCATGGGGGTGGGCCAAGGGCTGGACTGTTGTCAAAACAAATCTGGCCTTTGTTGCCCGGGCAACCTCTCCTTCTCCAGGCCAGCTGGGTTGACCATTGAACTGCCCGCAGCTACTGTGCAGGCAGTCTGGGCCTGACCTTGGTTAGACATGGAATCTCAGAGTGAAAAACCCCCTTTTGATTCCAATCTGGGAACCATCCCTGGGCCTGACGTGCCCCGGCTGAGAGAAGGGAGTCGCTGGGCCCCATGTCCCTGCCCCGTGGACCCTCCAGCCCCTTTTCCATGCAGAGTCCCTCTGCCCCCCATTCCAGGCCAGACCCTTCACTGGATCCTGGAGAGGAAGGAGCCGGGGGAGGCGTGGGGGCAACATACAGGATCTTGCCCCAGGGAAGCTCAAAGCCCAGAGGGAGGTGCAGACAGACACAGGGAATCCCAGCAGGACACGATCCATGCAGAGGGAGGTACAGGTCCCAGGGACCTGGGGACCCAGAGAGTGGCAGCTGAGGCGGTCTGGGGCCCCTGAGGGCAGCTGCTCAGAGGATGCTTGATGTGGGGGAGAAGAGGAAGGGAGGGGGTGAGGAGGTGACTGTGACTCAGACAGCCGGATATGCAGAAGACCAGAGGCAGGAGCCAGCTCTGTGTTGAGGTGAAGGGCAAGCCAGTCAGCCTGGGGGCGGAGGGCGGGGAGGGTGAGGAGGGATGAGCTGCCCAAAGTGTGTGCACTGAGCCCTGAGGCCATGGGAAGGTCATAGTGAGACGTGCCCCTTGAGAAGGCCACAGTGGGTCTTGGGGAGACTGGATGTGGGGTAGCGGGGACAGGAGGCCAGGGTGGGCATAGGGGGTCCAGTCAAGAAGCTGTAGAGTTGAGGGACTGGCTGGCTAAGTCAGAAGAGCATGTGACTCTCGATCTCAGCGTCGTGAGTCGAACCCAGCTCCGTGTCAGGTGTGGCGATTACTAGAATGAATAAAATTTAAAAAAATAATACTCAAGGCTGTGAGGTTTTAGAGGCAGGCCCAGAGACTGTCCTGATGAATTCAGAGGGTGGGAAGTGGACCAGGACATGAATTCAGGAGAAGCCCCCAGGGTTAGCTTTGGTAGTTGGATAGTGGTGTGACAAAGAGGACTGAGGAAAGTTGACCCCGGGTCCCTGATTAGGTGGTCTGGAATGAGGGACAGATGGGTGTGGTTTGCTGAGAGCAGGCACAGAAGGGAGAGAAACTGAAACATTCTCCAATCCGATGCTGTGGAAGCCTGGGAGCTGGTGGGGGGTGGGGGGCATGGGCACTGAGGAGCAGGAAAGAGGTGTGGATGGGGAGGGAGGCATGGGCAAATCAGGGGGAGAAGAGGCAGGTCAGCGCTGCCCAGCTGAGTGTTCTGGGCCAAGCCCCTGTCTCTCTGATCCTCAGTGGCCCACCTGAGCAGTGGGGTGATGCTTCCTTCCCCCAGGACTGTGGAAAAAGTGCCTATAGAGGCTTGCTTTGTGCATGCTGGGTGCAGGCCCCCTGGGGGCCAGAAGTTGGCCAGCCCTACAGATCCTCAGGTCCCCTCAGGATGCTGTCAGCTCGTGTCCCTTGGGTTGGCATCTCCAAGGGCTAGTGTCCTGGGGCTGGAGGGGACGGAATCTGAGGAGAGCAAGTGCCTGGTGCAACCATGGCCACTGAGGGCCAAGAGGTGTGGGGAGGACTTGCAGAGGGTCGAGAAGCTGCTGACTCGCCTCCCCGGCTTCTGGGGAAGAGTCTGGGGCTCCCAGGCTCGGAAGGGGTTTTCACACAGGTGGTCATGTCCGCACAAATGGGGACAGGTGTACAATGTACCTGCACATGCACGCTCACAGCCTTGGTGTGCACACAAGTACACCCAGCACACACATGCATACCAGACATACACACACACACACAGATGCGCCCATGAGTACGCCCAACACACACATGCAAACCCAACATACACACACACACTAGTGTGTGCATGACAATGCCCAACACACACACACAAAAATCCCCTTACAACACAAAAGATGTGCACGTGAGTGTACCCCACATACACACACATCCCAACATATACAGCACACGCTGATATGCAGGTACATGGAACACAACACAGAGAACACACAAGCACCACATGTACATATACACATGTGTGCTCCCCCATATGCATGCCATACAATGCGAGCCTGCACACACACGCATACATCATAATATGCGTGTACTGAATCAATCTCCACTCTCCTATTCCACAAGGACATTTTCTCCAGGCTTCCAGCACCCAGTTGTGTGGAACTCCTGAACATGACGGCAGGATCAGGACCCCACAGGGCCCAGGAGTTCCCTCCCACACCAGGCTCCCACCAAGTGGTGAGCATCATCCAGTGGGGTCCCCAGGCCAAGCTGCAGGGCCCCAGCTGGGCTGTCTACTGTTCCCTAGAAGGCTGCTTACACCACCTTGGGTTTTTGTGTTACAGTTTGGTCAGGAACCCAAACCTGGAGACCTGATTGAGATTTACCGCTTTGGCTACAAGCACTGGGCCATCTATGTGGGAAACGGTTATGTAATCCACCTGGCTCCTCCAAGTAAGCGCTGTTGGAAATATTATTTTCAAAATATTTGTTATGATGATGAGAATAATTGGAAGAAAGAGCTGAGCAAGGGAAACCTGAGTTGGTTTCTCTCTGACCTTACAGATCTTATATCCATATCCCACTAGGTAATCAAGTGGGGTGCCATAGGTCTGGGGGCAGGGAAGGCAAGTGAAATGCACATTCCAAGGAGGGGGAGGGGATGTGGAGCTTCTGATCGCTGGGGTCCAGCTCATGGGTCACTGGTGGTCACACTATCTGGATGACCTCCCCCAACATCAATATTTTGATGATCAAATGGAGATAATATTTACTTCAAAACTTATAGGTGATGAAGTCATATATGGAAAGTAAAGTGTATGATCACATAAACTGGATCTCTTTCTGAAACATATGAAGGCACAAAATTAAACAAAGAGTAAATATTTGATGATCACAGCTTAAAATGGCAAAATCTTTGAACAACCTTGGTGTTCAATAATAGGGCTTGATCAGATAGACAATTTATACCCATATAATGGAATACAGTGACATTGGCATCAGTAATCATGACATTCACCGACTTGAAAAAATATTCACAGCTTGTTCCATAGAAAGAACAAAATCTGTGAATGCTCTGATCACATTTGTGAAACGACAAATAGCAAGACCTCTATAGTGTATTCCCTTGGTCCTCCTTCTCCCTCCCTGTCCCGCCTTCCCCTGCAGCACCTGATGACCATGGTGGTGTCTCTGATTCCAGGTGAGTACGCAGGGGCTGGCTCCAGCAGCGTCTTCTCTGTTCTGAGCAGCAGGGCGGAGGTGAAATGGGAGCGCCTGAAGGATGTGGTGGGGAACTGCCACTATAGGGTCAACAACCTCTTGGACAACAAGTACAGACCACGCCCTGTGAACCAGATCATTTACTCCGCGAAGGCAAAGGTTGGTCAGGAGATGGAATACAGTCTTGTGTGGAAGAACTGTGAGCACTTTGTCACCAACCTGAGATATGGTGAGGCCGAGAGCAGGCAGGTAAGGCCCTCTTTGAGACCATCCCACCCCTTCCTGGAGGTCTCATTGGGTTGGGGTGACCATCTGCTCAGCCAGAGGGGAGAATCACCATGAACCACTGGCTGGGAGTCAGGATGTCTGAGTTCAAATATTCAATCAGCTTTGATCCACTGGGGGGAGGGTGTCTGTGGACAGGACATTCCCTCCCTGGGCCTCAGTTTCCCCATGTGCAGAAGGAGAAGTTGGATGGAGGACCTCTGGAGGCCTGCCAGTCTGCCTTCTAGGATCCTTCACCTCTAGGATCCACCTTAAAGGCAGCTCTTGATGCCCCCAAAGGATGTCAGGAAGAGTGTGGGCGAAGTCAACATCAGGACAGGTCTCCTAAGGCCCCAGAGAACACTCAGGTGAAGGATGCTCAAGGCCCATGGGCTTCTGTACAAGCTCAAGGTTTCATTTATGGAAGGTCTGGGGCACAGTTTCCACCCCCACCCCCTCTGGCTTCCATGTTTGTTTTTTGCAAAACACAGCTAATAAGTCGCAGAGGCAGGATTCCAACCCCAGCTGTCCTTCTCTAGAGTCTCTTTCTCCCTACCGCCCAGCTGCAGAAACCGCATGGCCAATAATGTCAAGTAGAGCCTCACTACTACTCTGAGTTGGGTCATTTCTTTGAGAACTT